CATGGACTAGAGTATATACTGTGTGTACATATATATTCTTTTTTTTTTTTTTTCAGTCGTAAATGTCAATGGACGAAAAATTGATGTAGACTTTAGAAAAGTGCTATTAGTAAAAAAAGCAGCAGCTCTTTTTGGAGTGAGCTTAGCTCTACAATCAGCAGTGCAGCTGGTGTTGGGGAAGTGGGAGGGCAGCGCAAACTGACTTCATCTCCTTCCTGTAAGCTGAAAAATAGATGTGCTGAAATGAGTCGCTACATATTGCACAATGTGTGGTGGTCCAACTTTATCAAATGCCCTCAAAAAAAACCAAAAACAATTACGTGTGCCATTGTGTTAGATGCTTTCTCCAGATTGACAAGGGTTAGGGTTGAGCAAAATGCCTCGCCTGGTTTCAAACTGGGAGTATTTCGACATCATATGTTGAAGGCCAACCCTACTGCCAAAACAGATCACATGTACACTCCATCTCATTCACAGTTATTCCTTGAGCCCTGCATAGCTTTCACACATTGCTAATCAGCATGTGGATCTAACTAATTACAAATCACAGTAGGTCATCTGAGTTTGGCAAGACTGTATCTGTTCAATAGTCTTTTGAAGCCAGACTTTAGAGAGTTGGCATGAAGTCTGGTCCACATTGCAGCTTATTCAGACCAATAAGCACTGACACTGATTAACATGTGAAACGACCAACCGAAGGTGGTGGTGATTTGAACGCGATCGATTTCGAAACCGAAAGTGAAACCGTAAAAACAGCGCACATAAGAAAGCGATTGCATGCTTTCGTGAGCGTCTGCAATGAGACGCGATCACAGATTGCACGCTTCCCACCCGAATCTGGTGAATCTGTGTAAACTAGTAGGTGTGTTCGACTTGAACTGTGCAGACCGATCGGTGTATTACAGTACCACGAGCTATAGAGAGCAGACTGCTCCGTACGCTTTCGAATCGCTCTCGCGGATGTCAAACACATATCGATCTGCGCCGCACCGTTTTTAGTCGAGCACACCAAGTGCTGCAGGCTTATTGGCCCACGGACATTGATGAGATTAACCCCTTAAGTATTGAAATTTGGTACCGAACGACGAGATGTTTTTCGATACTCGATGGTATCGAGGCAATTCGGTCGCTGCCTAAAAAGTATCGAACCCGATACCCAGTCCTAGTGATATCACAAATCCCGGAAAATATGCGTTGTATTCCAAACGAGTTGTTCGTTGTAGTTTTTGAAAAGTGATTTCTGTTAAATAAAATATCTATTTTTGAATTGGACTTTAAGCTTTGTAACTTTGCAGATGTTTTTTATGCTCAAACAGCAACATTACAGACTAACTAAAGTTGAAAAAGTGAAAAAGTATTATAGGACCCCTTTAAACATCACTGTAAAAGTGGGAAATGGTTCTCATCAAACTTGCTTCTCTCTGTATGCCCGAGTTCAAAAGGGTGTGATTTGTGTGACCTAAACAATCTCCACTAAGTTTGTCCCTATAACATTGTTTTTAGCAGTCAATCCTAATATCCATATTTACATGATTTTGATATTTTGCATTGAAAATCACGGGGGAAACCTGTTATTAAATATGCTACTGAACTTTTTTTTTTTCACAAAAAAGGTTAATATTGATATAAATAAACACATTAAACAATGGAAGATAGTCCAAGTATTTGTCAAATAAATAGTAGTAAATAAATTCAAATTTTAACCTTTCTATTCCAATCAACAGGACAAAGATAATGTAAATCAAATAAAAGACAAAACAATCTGGCAAATAACTGCATAATTTTTAGATATAGATTTAGGTATTTTTAGGTTTAGTTATTGTAAATTGAATTACGCCATAGTTTGATTGAGAAGCAAATCTGTAATTAAAATAAGCAGCTTCTCCAGAAATAATCATTAAACTCAACAATAATTACTTTCAATTATTTATTTGTATGAAAAGTAGTGTGTTGGTTACTTTGCATTAAAAAAATATTTTTTCCCCACCATTTGAGTGAGAGTGTTGTCTCTCTCACAGACACAAGCATGCTCAGAGAGAAAAAAAGATAGAAGTCGCATATATGTAAAGATAGTTGAAATAGAAACGGTTGTGCTAGGTTTAAATGGTTTTCAGTAAATGACAGAACATATTTAAAGCACCTCTGAATAAGAGTGTGTTGGCATTAATAACTGAGCATTCAGACCAAGAAGAACATTTGACCAGACATACACATTGCCATGCTATTACTGCATGTACTATTCACAGAACACACAAGCATATAAGCATATGAGCATTTTAAGCAGACGCTGTCAAACAAACAGCAATTGTGTACCGGACGTAGTCGGTACTAGGTTCTACTGAAGAGAAAATGACATATATTCTTTTTGTTTGACAGAAAACTAGGCACTTAGAAATGTACAAAACTTTTATACTACCTTCAAGTGAAAAAAATAATATTAAAACTGTCACGTGGTACAAAAATAAATACATTAAAAAAGTAATGTGGTGTAAAAAACAAGACAAAAGTAATAACATTTTTGTTAAACATCTTAATCATCATTCTCAATTATTTGTGAAAGCAAACAATTGGAAATATAATTAAGTAGTTATGTTTGTTACTCTCACATACACGAAGAACAGGACAGTAAAATAAAATGCTATCTGTTCAATATTTTTCAATGTGAAGTGTATTTGAAATGTACAAATACAGCTTATAAATGTGAAAGTGAATTTTATATAAATCATAAAAGTGCATTTTACAGTTGCACTGTGGAGAATAAACAGACAAGACGAGAGATGCATTGATAGAGGTCAGACAGACAGTTTCGCTTCAGCATTTGACAGGAAAAGAAAAAAGGCGTTTCAGCAGTTTAACGAAGCTACCCCAGGGGTGGCATGGCTTCCGGAAAAGCCAGCTATGCACAAACAGACAGATGCGTTGCGCATATCTTTAGGCGAGGGCTGAGTTACAGTGGCCTGTAGCACACACCCTGAGCAACACACACACATATACACAAACACAACCACTTTGTGTGGTTATGTCAGTAAGACTTCCATGCCAGTGTTTAATAATAGCGCAAAACCACACGATTATTTCTGAAATGAGAAACGGACCACACCCTGATGTTTGGGTTGCTTGCCAAGTCTTTTTATTATTATTATTATTATTCTTTACTGTCACAATTTGAGACCCACAGCAGGCTAAATCATTTGTGAACCATCATTTGTAGCACATAACCAATACAACACAGGAGAAAACAAACCACGCATGCAACAGAACATGTGGCATGGCTCTTTGTCGCATATGCAGCACTGAACAGAAACACTTGGTGATTAAAAGCAAGGACGCAGTTCGGTTAGTTTGGATTGCTGCTCACTAACAACATTCACAGCTGAAGGGTGAGGACAGGCGCTCCTTTCACAGATTTACGGCTGTGTTATGCTCCATCTGACTTTGGCTTCTCTCAGACAGGGTGACCGCGAGCATCTGAGGGCTGCTATCTCTGCAGCAAGCCAGATGAATGCTTGCAGTAAGTAATATGAATGAGAGGCCAGCCTTTTCAAAACTGAGCCTTTACTTTGCAGAAAATGATTGAAAAAGTCTAAGAGTATATAAAAGTAGATGGTTGCATATTACAAAAGTAAAAAGTTCAAATCAACCTCATGTGGCAATGTTAAAGAAACATCTACATGCTGTACATACATCACTTCGGAAATCGGTATGTTGTATTCACGTTTTACTTGATGTTCTTAGTGGAAAACCAAACAGATCAGGTCTCCTGAACATGGACTCCATGTGGACTCTCTGAATCTAAAGGATTTGAGCTTTCCAACATTGAACAGCTAAAACTAGTGTAATCCGCTGAGACAAATATAATCTCTCGTCGCTCCTGTGCGAAAATAATTCAAGTGTACAAGGTTAACATGTCCAGATTAGACACAAAGTAAATAACATGAGTGAGGTTGAGGAATCGACGGAGGACAAAAGAGACTGACAGACAGAAGTAGCTACATACAAAAAGTCTTAGCAGAACCATTGAGAGTCAAATCACTCACAACAGTACTATTGTTATTTAGCTAATTAGCGGCCACTAATCAATGCCCTTTAACATATCCAGTAGGCCTGTTAGAGGGATTTCAGTTTTGGCATTGAAATTTGTGGTAGCTCTTGTTGCTTTGTAATAAATAAGTGATTCGTCATGCAAAATAAGACAAGGAACATGTGTTAAGAAAGTTATTTTTGGGGTCATTTTGACTTCAAGTGGCCTGAGAGGAATAAGGTGCCTGCCCTTCATCAAATCAGGTAGGCCTGATAGGGGGATTTCAGTTTTGTCAGTGAAATTTGTATGGGAAATAATCAGATTTCACTGTTATTAGTATCGACTACTGAAAGTGAAAGTGTTAATATCGGGACAATATGAAAACAGTTTAATGAAAACCTTGTGTCAAGCTTCGTAGTGGTTCTTTTCAGTAGACTGACATTATTGAGAGAGATACAGACAGAGAGAGAGAGAGAGAGAGAGAGTCTTCAACTAAAAACTATGCTCAATACTCTCAATATCTCTGGAAATTTGTGTGGAAATTGCATGGGAGGTTTTCATTCCAGAATCAAATCACTGTAGTCAACATCAGTTTATGGGGACGGTCTAAACAGCACCCCAATGCAATCCAATGAACAAAAAAAAAAATCACACGATTGATGGAACCACTGGCCCCTACATAACATTTTATTCCAAAACGACACATTTTGGCCATACTTGATGGTCAAGAAACACAGGGGAGGCAGGTCTTCCATACAATCCCATATCTAGAGCTCCATTTCCTGTTTGTATGAAACTCATCTGCCAAGAGCACACAAAATGAGAGTCAGTCAGGAGAGATGGAGACAGACAGAAAGAATTGCAGTTAATCTTGCTAACTCAATGTGCGAGGCTAAGTATTTACATTTCACATGCAACAGCCAAGTGTCCAGAACCTCCTTGGATGGCATGATTTCTGCAGTCCCATAAACTATAAACCTGCACTTTGGTGAAAATGGAGGATTTTAGAGGATTATCATTAGAGGATATCCCACAGCATAACAAGGAATAAACAAGTATTGTTACATTCTAGACAACTCAGAACTTGGAATTCTCCTACTAACATCCTACTTGAACATACTCAAAGATGGATATGCAAATTGCAATGTTGGAATAGATCAATCAAGCGCATGTTTGATGAAAAGAGGGAGATGGTAGAAGTTTTGTAGTCCTCGATATTGGACTCGGGTCTTGAGAGCAAGACCATATTTTCACGGTCTTGGTGTTATCATGAACTTAGAAGCATTTTGACTCAGACTCGAGAGTACTACAATGCTGCAGATACGTTTTGTGGTCTGTACTGACTCATGTAGAGGTTTTCATGACACTGATGCAAAACCAGGCTTCATTCACCCCAAAGGAAAACATGTTAACACCGTCTGAATCATTCAGACCCTCTTCAGGTCTCTGTCTTGACTTGGACTCATCCTAGTCTTGGAGGTTGGACTTGGACTCAAATGAGCTGGTCTGGAACACAGCATGACGGAAACTCTTTGAGGTTGAAAATAGTTGTGTAGATGATGAGCATGTCACTTCATTTCTGTTGAAACATTATGAAGACACAACTTTTTCCTTTGGAAAAATGTTACTGATGAATCATGCAAAC